AATTCTGTTATTGGGAGGTTTACTATACTTTAAAATATTGTCATTCCCATCAGATAATATATATTTATTTGTTCTCTGGTGCATTTCAATTAAAATTATTTTGAATTCAAAAGTAATGTAGATTAATATTATTCGATTCGATTAGTCGATTAAATTAAGTTCAGATATTTTTTTCTTAAAACCGAGCCGAAATTTTAAAATATGGCCTGATGCAATAGATAGCTAGAAAATACATATTTATTGCCATAAAAATATTAATTTTAAGAATTATTCAACATAACTTGCTATAGTTCGACAGATTAATAGATTGATATAAATTTTAAGAAGAAACGTTCTTGTTTTTTTATTATTATTTATTTATTAATAACGCATATTTTTTTTCAACCACAATCGTATAAGAATTTTTTATAAATTATTTGAGAAATAGGTATCTAAAATTGTTTGCCAGTTTAATATATTCAAAGCAACAATTAGTTATGTTTTAGTCGCGGGTAATAAAAACGGTTAAGTTAAAAAGATGTGTTTTCTTAAAAACTAAGATTTTACGAAAAAAGTTGTTAGACAAAAGTTGTTGGGTTTAATTATTTAAATGCATGACCATATCTATGGCATTTAATTTTGGGACACATTATATATAAAAATCAATTAAATATTTTAAACGTATTCCACATCACAGTTTGGCGATACTTCTTGCAAAAGTCAAAAGTTTATTATTCAATAGATAAATTTCAAACCATTTAAATGTAAGCGCGAAAAAATTATCATTGTTCAATTATATGTATACTTCGACTCGTATATTTATGTATAACCTACAAAAGCGTAGCGTAGTAGCGTTCTGGAAATTGCCCCAAAAAACAAAATTTTAGGTGATTTGATTTATATCGTAGGTACATATTTACTGTGAAATTTCTTTTGTTAATAAAGTATTGCTATGTAATACTCGTAATATTGTCTTATGTCTTGTATATCGGGTGACCACAAGATTACTACCCAGGCTCTAGCTTAGGCACGAAAAAAGATATCGATTTCAAATTTTGGGCATGCGTATCATTGAATTTGATGCAAAATTTAATCATAAAAACAACTGACCGTCACTTCCTGTATGACCGGAAATGCCCTAAATTTTGTTATTTCATATGGAACACCCTGTATATTATTTTTGTTTTCAATTCTGCTAAAGAAACTAACACTAAAATATGTATTATGTCCTATACCTTAATTTGGCAGTTTCCGAGAAAATCGCGCTTTAAAATGTCAAATGTGTCATTTATAAAATCCTTTTGAAAGAAAACAAACGAAGAAAGGGACAAAGTCATATGATATCTTTAACTTATTTTACAAGTACTAAAGCTTTCTCGCTTCTCCATACACTAGTAACATGTCGATTTGATGTTCGCGAGTAAAAACTGGCATTTTACATAAAAAAGAAGTAATAAGCACCACCACTAAACGTGAAATGAAACAGCAAGATTCCTAGGCACCTCTGATCTACGCATTGACTGATTATGTCGTTTTCCATTTAATATCTCAAAAACTCCGAACTTTGGGTATAGGGAAGTGTACATAAAAATGATTGGAAATTGTTTGTAGAATACGAATTCTCAATTAGTTGTAGGGCATTCCATTAAAATTATTGCAGTTACTTGCTAATAAAGATGACTTCCGGTATTTTCCGGATGTGTCGGAAGTGCGACATTTTTATGATATCAGACTTTAGTATTTCTAAAATACGTTAAAGATATCATATGACTTTGTCCCTTTCTTCGATTGGTTTCTTTCAAAAGGATAAATGACACAGTTGACATTTTAAAGCGTGATTTTCTCGGAAACTGTCAAAGATAGGTATAGGACAAAATACATATTTTAGTGTTAGTTTCTTCAGCAGAATTGAAAACAAAAATAATATACAGGGTGTTACATATGAAATGAAAATGTTTAGGGCATTTCCGGTCAAACAGGAAGTGACGGTCAGTTGTTTTTATTATTAAATTTTGCATCATATTTAATGATACGCATGCCCAAAATTTGAAATCGATATCTTTTTTCGTGCCTAAGCTAGAGCCTTGGTAGTAATCTCGTGGTCACCCGGTATAGGTTAACTGCAATAAATAATTTTCTCTATATTTCTCTACAAATGCTTCTAGTATCTTTATACAGGGTGGCACAAAAGTATGGGAACCCCTGAATAACTCGACAGGAGTGCATTTTCTTGAAAAATGATAAATACAAAAGTTTTAGGATTTTTCCCTGGCTATTCAATGGCGCCCTTGTATTCGACTTTGACCTTGACCTTATTTTTTCAAATGGGAACCCCTATTTTTTATTGCGGATTTGGAAAGAGCAGAAAATTTTACGGTCAAGAATGACTATGACCATATCCTTGACCAGGACCTTCAAGGTCACTTCAAGGTCAAATTTGTTTTTTCAACAGGAACCGCTATCTTTTATTACGGATTTGGAAAGTGCATGAATCTTTATGTTCAAATTATGACCTCGACGATGTCCTTAACTACGACCTTGACCATGGTCTCCAAGGTCAAGGTTGTTTTTTCAATAGGAACCGCTAGTTTTTATTGCGCATTTGCAATTTTATCTTCAAATGCGACCTCGACTACAACCTTGACAATGACTCTCGAGGTCATGTCAAAGTTAAGGTCATTTATTTACATTAACTTATTTTGTTAAGCTACAAAAAACAAAAAAATCAAATGTACGAACAATGACCATAATCATGCTCTTGGCTTTGAACCAGTCTTTAAAGGCCATTTTAAGAAAATCTTTTGAAAATTCGCAATCCAAGATGGCGGACAATATTCTTAAAAAATTTTCTGATTAAGAATCGGAAATCGGTTTTTGAAAATTTGTAATCCAAGATGGCGGATAATGTGAACGTAAAGTTTCATGCACTTTTCAAATCCGCAATAAAAGTAGCGGTTCCTGTTGACAAAACAACTTTGACCTTGGAGTGACCTTGAAGGTCGTGGTCAAGTATATGGTCGTCATACTTGAACGTAAAATTTCCTGCTCTTTCCAAATCCGCAGAACAATAGAAGTTCCCATTTGAAAAATCAATTTTGACCTTGAAATGACTTTGAAGGTCAAGGTCAAGGTCGAATACATGGGCGCCATTGAATAGCCAGGGAAAAATCCTAAAACTTTTGTATTTATAATTTTTCAAGAAAATGCACTCTTGACGAGTTATTCAGGGGTTTCCATACTTTTGTGCCACTCTGTATATTATATAATATTAATCTTGTACTTAAGATTTGTTTATTTAATAAAGATAGAGACTTTTATTAGATAAATTTGTAAGACGATGTATTCACATTCTGAAATGTTGAAATCTTGTTATTATCATACCATTTTCTCCAAATTATCAAATGTTATAGTAACAGACATCATCCATATACTGGGTATATCATTAAGAAACCTTAAGAAAAAAAATATGTCAAGCAACTCCAAAGTAAACTGTTTATAAAATAATTATCTATAAGGACTACAAATTAAGTGAAGTAGCTTCTTTTTATCGTAAACATGCCTTGGATAGGTAATCAAAACAATGAAATTAGGTACCTAGAGAAAACAATTGATTAAAGCAGCTAAAAAATTGATTAAAGCAGCTAAAAATGTGAAGTACTAGAAGTATTTAAATAAAGTTTTTAAAACTTTTCTATTCCATCTATTTTGTTAATGTTTTAGTTTAACATAACATACAAAACTGATTTTATTTTTTGGCTTTCAACTGGTATACCAATTTTATTTAATATCAAGTAAATTTCCATTATTCTCAATTAAATTGGAGAGATGTGAACGGATGTGTATTTTGACCACTTTTACCATTTTTATTCAAAATTAAGCGAATTCTCATATTTATTTGTTAAAATTATTGAAAATGGTTTGAAAACTGACAAAATTATATTTTTTAAACTGACATCCTCTTGCAGATTGAAAAAGAACTACATTTGATCAAGGCATGTTCTGCTCAATGATCTTATTTTAATCTTAGCTATTTGCCATTATTTTCATTGCTAACGAAACACCTTGTAGTTCTATACAAATATGACGAAGTTAACTGATATTTTTGGTAGACACCTACAGGGTGTCCCGAAATTCACGCAACAAACTTTGGTCACAATTTCTTAGGACAAATTTAGGGGACCCGTATTTTTTATTTTTGCCAAGTGGCCCCTTCTTTCGGAGTTACAGCCCCCTGAAGTCCGCCCCTAAGAATAATATTTTTTTTATATCTCAGAACCCTGTTGTACGAGAATCACTAAATTTGGTACACAGGGGTTTTATGACATGAGGAATCTGATGGTGCAACGTTTTTTGGCGGGGAACCCCCTGAAGACAATTTTTCGTGGGCTCCCTTGTCTTTGGAGCCAAAAAAATTTGGTCGCATATTTAAATTTCTTAAAAATTATCAGTCCACTAGAAAGCCATTAAATTTAGAAACTTTTTGTCTCTTTATACTTTTTTCGTAAAACGCAATGTTTCGAGAAAAATGTTAAAATGTGATCGATTGCATATCGTGATTCGCCATTTTCCTCAAAAACATTGCGTTTTACGAAACAAAGATCGAGAGACAAAAAAGTTTCTAAATTCAATAGCTTTCCAGCTAACTAATAATTTAAAAAAATATATAATTTGCGACCAAATTTTTCTGGTTCTAAAGACAAGGGGGCCCACGAAAAAGTGTCTTAAGCGGGTTTCTCGCCAAAAAGCGTCGCACTGTGAGATTCCACATGTCATAAAACCCCTGTGTACCAAATTTAGTGATTCTCGTACATGGTTTTGAGATATAAAAAAACTTCTTAAGGGCAGATTTCAGAGGGCTGTAACTCCGAAAGAGGAGGCCAGTTGGCGAAAAGAAAAAATACGGGTCCCCTAAATTTGTCTCAAGAATCTATGACCAAATTTTGTTGCATGAGTTTCGGGACACCCTGTATATCACAAGCAACTTATTTCCAATTACAACAAATACAAAAAACAATACTTACATTGAAAATAGGCAGATATTTTACACGTATATTGGCCAAAGTTGTATATCGTAGTGTAGGCCCTCCAGGCTGCAAGTGGCATACATACCAGGGTAACCAACAAATCTGCCACCGATAAACTGACTAGAAAGTAATTCGTCACACTGAAACAAAAAAATAATGTAAAAAATATTGCTATTTATTTTCCATTCGTCAGCAGCATCGCTAGTTTCGAATGTATCAGTATGCCATAGGTAAGACGACTGTGAAACGACTTAGCTATCGACATGTTTTAAGTGTAGGTGAGATACAACCTGCAAAGTACATGTTATATCTTTAAATGTTTTTGCTACGGACACAAAGCTTTACTTCCAGGGTAGTTTTGATTCTTACAATTAAACAGTTTTTTCGCCTAGTGCAAAAATGTTTTCAGATAACCTAAAGATTAGTAGGTCACTATATGCCATCAGGTACAAAGTAATGCTTTGTAACAGTAAGCATTGAATACTAAAGTGACAATGACATTTAAAATATGACACATATTTTCTATGTTATATCTCGCCCACACTCAAAACATGTCGGTAAATAGACATCCAACTAGCTAAAGCGTTCATTGGTCGCCTCACCTATGAGGTCTTACTGATGAGAACTAATAAATCGATGACGAGCTGTTTACTAGATAGTAAGGGCGTAATTCAATGTGGAGTATGAGCGGAGGATGTATTATATAATTATTATATATACAAAATTCTAAATAAAGTCGGGTCTGCAGTCAAAGCCAAAATTTTTAAGTGTACTCTTTTTTATTGCTCGAGCTTTCGGAACAAATTTATTCCTGCCTCAGGAGAAACTATAATGGAATATACATTGATAACAACCACAAGTAATAATCTAATTTATACTTACAAAATTGAGATTTGAATCAAAAATTTTTTAACCAAGTTTAAAACAAAATCCATCTGAATCATCAGTCACAACAGTACGATACTTGAAAATCTATTGTTAAAAACCTTCCTTAACCCTATTGTTAACATATACACATATTAAAATTGTTTAAAATTTTGAACTATTACTTTACAATTACATTTTTTAACAAAAACTGTATAACCTTAAAAACTTTGCTCAGCCATGTGGCAGCATGGAATCATAATTGAACCAAAGAATCATAACCAAAATTTTACTGACACAAAAAGTAAACAGAACAAAATGATTGAGACAACCATGGAACAAGTAAATTTTAGAAATAAGAAGAAAGTGAAATTTAGCGCTAAATTTTGAAAAATAATTTCTATAAGCTGGATTCACTAACGTCATTAATAGAAGAATTATTATTATTAATACTTAACAAATATGTGAACATGATACTTAAGTTATCAATGTCAGAACGTCTATTCATAGTGTTATCACATTGAAAAATGCTGCACATCTCA